TTTAGGGTTTAGGGGTCAGGGTTTAGGGTTTAGGGTTTCGGGGCTTAGGGTTTAGGGGTTAGGGGTTCAGGGTTCAGGGTTTAGGGTTCAGGGTTTGGGGTTTCGGGTTTGGGGTGTAGGGATATACTGGGATGTAGAATGTATATAGGTCTTTCAAGGCTCTCCACGGTGTAGGGCTTGAGGATTCTGAGCAGTTGTTGTCATTTTTTGGTGGGTCCTCATAGCTCCCTCACGTTTGGGGTTCTATAGGGTCTAGGGTCTAGGGTTTAGGGTTTAGGGTTTAGGGGGTTCTATCTGGGATGCCAGATGTTCAAGGGGTACCCTAGTTTTTGGAAGGTACAATGTAGACACTCTAGGACAGACAACGGGTTTCTAGAATTATTTTGTGTGCATATGCATCAGGGGTAAACCCTGAACCCTAAACCCTGTAATTATGTGTATATATATATATATACATAGGTGGATATCGGGAGGTAAGGCGTGTTTGCAGGCTGGAGAGGGATTAATTGTTCGAGTACCGACGTAATTACGGACAAGACCAGGGTGTAGGGGAGCCGTCATTCAGCAAAAGTCAGGGTTTAGGGTTTGGGGGTTAGGGTGTAGGTTATAATGTTGATGACAATAATGAAGCCCTCTGCATTTACTATATACCCATACTCAGCTTAACTGAGTGTAAGTTCTTTAACAGCAACCCAGAAGGTTCAGGTAGTTAGTTCACAGGTGGGTACCCAGATAGGAGGTTGGCCTATCGCTCACCCAACTGCCGTACCCCTACTTGGAGGGTTATGGGGACTTAGGCGTTAATGGTAGGGAGAACTAGGGTTACTATATGGGTTATAGGGGTTATTAACCTACTTACTAAGGCCCCCTGACCCTCCGAGTACACGAGCTTTGGAGGCCTTGTATGGGGGGTGCCCACCCTGTGGCTACCTAGAAGGGCCTTAGATCAAATGAAGTCTCCAGGTGGGTAGTATAAGTCTTACATAGCTCTTATGTAGTCCTAGTGTCCCCATATAATATACGCCTTATATAAGCCTGATGTAAGGGTACCCACCTGGTAATTCCGCACCTGAAACTTTCCGTTTAACTTGAATGACGAAAGCCCTTCGTAGGCCCGTTTTGGGGGTTCATGTCAGTTTGGGAGGGTGTGTGGTTCTTCTTGTCACTCCCCATTACTACAGAAGGAGCTCTTGTGAAGGGAGCTGGTTACTAGTTGATAATAATCCCATGAAAGCAAAATTGCTCGGAGCGTCAAATGAGAAGTTGCTGCCTAGTTGCGATTTCTGTCTGAAGCTAGCATGCCTAAGAATGTCGTCCCACCCACGAATAGTTTACATACTATATATATATATAGGGACACACGCTTTTCATAATTACCATTTATCAGTAACCACTTGTGGTCATTACTAGTGGGTGGGGGCACCACCTCAAGCATACCCCATGTGCAACATTGCAAGCCTAGCCCAGTCTGTCGACAGCCGTGTTATACTAATGCAATACACAGACAATTTTCAGGGTTTATATATATATATGTATATGGGTACACACATTTATCTCTGTCTCTCTCCCTCCCTCTCTATCTCTCGTTCTCTCTCTCTCTCTCTCTTTCTCGATCTTCACGTTTACATTCCCCCAAGAAGCAAGACTGCTGTGGTTTTAAAAGCGGCCATATGAGCTTCCGCGCTAGTCTGCAGGAGGGTACTGAGTGGGAGAATCACTTAAGCCTGGCCACACTACAATGACCTCATTCAACCTCACCTTAAATGGTGGTTGGTATAGACAATGGTCCCAAACTGGCTTCATTTCAGGTTCTGAAATGCCGTAAACCCTAAGCCCCAAACTGACATGAGTATAGTATGGCCAGTAGATCCTAACACCCCCAAACCCTAAACCCCAGGCCTAAAAGTACCCTGCCAGCTAAGTTATGTCCCGTCTCCTTCCTCTAACTAAAGCCCGAACTGAGTCATTTTTGGACATGGTTTCACTTACGGAACATAACAACAAATATGGCAGTAGATGTCTCAACAATATCCCTGGAAGCAGGTAGGACACCCTATACCCTAAACTTCGTAACCTTATTTCCCATCCAATTTAGCGTTTAGGGTCAAGGTGTTAGGGGTTCGTCATCCTGATCTCCCATCCGCAGGTGGATGACAAGCTTATCAACAAGGCGCTGTGGTGGTTTCACAGAGTCCGCAGTCCGACTTTGCAGCCCTGATGCCAAGAACTAGTGTACCTCGGAGAGTATACAGGAGGATCCCAAAATTCTGAAGTACCATGGAGAGACTCGCGCGTCAGCAGGTTTGAGAAAAGTTTGGGCTTGCGAGAAAGTGGGGTGTAGGATAGATTCGGTTGGACTCGCGGCTGAGCTGGGGTTTGTGCCAGCAGCTTGAGATTGCTTTCCTGCTTGTAATATCCATTCGCCGAGGTCATTTGAGTGTTCGTTGGGGCCCTCAGTCTTAAGTCGTGGGACAGGTCACCGCATCCTTCCTGATGGACAGCTATGAGGAGTTCTCCAAGAAAGACCTTCAGGACCCATGTCTCAGTCGGGAGATATTTGGACTCTAAACCCCAAATAGTAGTTTCCATTTTCTTTTCCATTATCCCTATTTAGCCCCTAAGACCCTAAACCCTAAATAGTACTTTCCATGCTCTTTTCCATTGCCCCTTTATAGCCCCGAACCTAAACCCTAGGAGTCAAGGATTGGGATTTAGGGTTAAAGGTGTGCGGTTTGCGGCTAGGGGCAGTTGGAGCTTTGTGCGGCATATGGGTAGTATCCGAAATTATAGGGTCCATTTTTGATGCACCTATATATTAGGTGCCATAATAATGTCTATACCCAAAGAGGGGCGATCTGAGTTGAGCAAGCAAGCATTTAGTCACCCAACTCTTACACTAATCCTGCCATCTAAGGTTTAGGTCTTACGGTAGAAGCCTATACATGATACTGACTTCAGGCCTTGACATCTACAAATCATGTTCGCATTGGGCTTTGTGTGTCCCTCTTCGATTAAGGAATGTAGCCATCCCTACCCTAAACCCTGAATTAAGGGTTTAGGGTTTAGGGTTTAGTGATTAATCCTAAACTGCGGTTTGGGGTGGTCCGTCCCCCACGCACTAGCAGTCTGGAATATGGGTCATGTTAAGGGCTCTATTCAGCTTGACTATAGTCTTTTTCCAGCCGTTAATGAGGGGGGCAGTACGCAAGCGGTTAGAGTTGAGGGTTTAGACCGCGGAGTGGTGTTTTCAATCCCTGCGCCGTACTCAAAATTCCCTCTCTGGATCAGCATTGCGCTAATTGGTATTCGTATTCTATTCAAAATACTAAGGGCAGGCGATATGCATTGACGTCGCCATACCTATTTAGACTTCTGATTATTTATGGAGTCTGGATTGTATGTCACAATATGCCCTCCGCTGTCATTATGTGTCCCCGTAGCTCTAGCAAAAGTCTTACCTATCATGTGTGTGACTGGCGTGATCTGCGCAACTACCAGGATATGAACTTCTTGAACAACATCTTGGACTTCGCCGCGAATGAGAAGGACCCAGCTTAGTGGGTTATCGTGATTCCTGCATTTTGGCGCAGCCTCAAATTTACACAGAGAAGACAGTTTTCTAAGCCAGGCAGCTTTATGTGGGGCATACCATACCTTAATTATTGCGTTTCTAGGGAGCTTGGTTTAAGCTTCCATTGATTTGCGTCTAAGATCTCTAGTTGGCCGCAGACCATCGGAGTTCGCAGACCGCAGGCTTTAACGCACTGGTGCTTTGGGAAATGGCAGGGTGGATTCCTTTCACTATCCGTAATATAGGGGCCGAAATAAGTACCAATGCAATTTTTCCATATTCCTCATGTAATTATGGTTTATGGTGCCTCAAACGGACCTCAACATGATATTGGTGATTATCTCGGCCCCTGTGGTACGTAAACTGCGTAATATACACCGACTATAGTACTTTTCAAACAGGCATTCACTTCCTGAGTCCCCTCAAGCACCAGTAAATTGAACAATCATGACAGCCTGCCTTGTGATCACACCCAGAAGTCCTTCAAACAGAGATTCCTGAATCTTGGGGGGAGGGGGGGGGG